TATATATATATATATATATATAGATATATATATATATATTATTTTAAATAAATACCCCCTCATGGGGTGTTTGTGCTCCTTAAATCTTTTTTATTATGTGATTGTCTCCCTTAAAAAAATTACAGGTGAGGTCCATTTCATAATTTAGCCGCCTAAAATAACATTAATGATTATGTTCCCTAAAAATATCAATTTAAAAAGAACACCAATAACTTAGTTGACAATGATAAAAGAGTAACATTTTTATAAAATGAACTAGGGTGAAACACCAATTAGCAAGAGACTAAAATGGCCAACTTGAAACAAGTGATGGAAAATTTATTTGCACAAATAGTGCAAATGAAGCACCAACAAGTAGCCTAGCTATCACACTACAAAATCTTCCACCGGACTAGAACTTATTTTAGAATCTCAAATGAATTATTTCTGGATTTAAACCAAGCTATTGAATCAGCCCTATATTGTAGAGGCCAGGAGGCTTATTATGACTTATCACCATCGTACTGATAATAACATTCTTTATTAGAACTTCCCCCAGCAAAGAAAATACTAGTATAAAGTAGCCTCCCTAAGAGCACCTACGGAAAGGACCTAGGTCAATGCTACCGCATCTAACATTTACATTTACATTGATTGGAAGTCTGATATGGAAAATTTCTTCTTTTGGCACAAGATGAATGACATGCAATATGTCAAATTTCAAACTGGAGTTGCCACAACTAAACAGTACTATAATGTCATTATTTGTGAGAATAACTCATCCGGAGCCACCCCCAACCATAGAAGATGTATTATTGAGGTTCTTTTGACTTGCAGTCAAGGTTCCTATTCCATTATTGATTACCTTGATCAGTTTGAGTAGTTCATATCAAGATATGAGATTTTTAAGTCCGATTAAGATAGTAGCAATAACCTCAGATAGCCCAAAAAAAAAAGCAGCGGAAATCATAAGAATAGCACAGGAAAAACATTAGAAGGAACAAAATGTAACAATCCCAAATCAATGTACCGTCAACGAAAGCCATATATCTTTAAGATTGATATTGATGAGAGAAAAAAAAGATTTATAGAAACAGGACCATAATGCACCAATGATGAAGCAAGGAAAACAGCACAAAAGTAGCAGCATTTAGATGCCTCTGCAAACATTCCAAACTAGAAATTTAACTTGGTGAATAACAAGACAAAAAATTATAATCCACAATCCAAATAAAGCAACATTTTCACAGCCATTTAGGATTCCAAATTATTACTTGCAACATGAAACAGGATAATTAGGGTTATAATAACTCATAAATGTACCTGGATTAATTGTCCCAAACGGGCTAGAATCTCCCATATGCCTACCAACGTACAGACCCTACCAAATCCATAGCACCTTCTAGTAAGTGGATAATATCAGAAGGTAAATCATTCACAGCTGTTGTGGCCAAACCTGTTGTTTAGTTGTTTCAAGCTCCTGTTCTACTTGAGCAAGTTTTATACGACTGCTTTCTAGTTGTTGAACGTAAGCCTACAAGTATAACAAAAATTTTCATCAACTTTCTTGTCGCAATTAATGTCTTAAAATGTACAGTTAAAATTCTAATTTTAATGCTTTTATAGCACCTTTTTTCGAAGGCGACTTTTCCGAGCTGCCTCTCGATTTTGTGCAAGGCGTCTTAAAACCTGAATGCAAAGGAATGCACTCAATAACCAAAGTTTTGTATTATGTTGCAATAAACATCAAAATACTATGATGCAATCATGGGGATTCATGTATTAGGATTAAATATGCCAATTCAGAAGTTTCTTCATCTTCTACTGACATATATTGTGAAGCACGTTAGGAAAAGTTTTCGGTACATAGCACATTCTTTCATATATGAAATTTGTATCATGCGGTAGTCAACTAAATCAAAATGTCCATTTCTGGGATTAAATGCTCAGCATAACAAAAACATCGACAATCAATAACATTCAAATATTCAAAATAATGCCAAATAAGTTCCATTATTTGTTCATTATGTTTTTTTTTTTTCAAAGACACCTAGTTGAATTAAAGATTCATAGCTCACTCCTGGTTAGAATAACTATTAGCATTAGATGTGAGCCCTCAACAATCATCTTCAATAACAAAGCATTTGCTGATGCACAAAGTCATGGATAAAAAGCGCATAATAAAAAATAAATTTTGTAAGCTGATCGGGTAAGTGTCAAATTCGGTGCTTCCAGCTTCTTAACTTGGCTCACACCCTAAACTCAGAATGATTTTTTTACCTTCACTCTCTTATATTTTTTTCATTTCTATAAACTACACCCAAATTAATTGTTTACACAAATAATTTAATACACATATAATTATAACAATAAGCCTTATCCCATTAGCAGTGTAAACAAACCATGCTTGAGGGAGCCCAGTGTTTTGTTAATCTTCAGCTTGTTCATATATTTTTATTTAGAAATGGCTAGTGAATAGCATGCACGTGTTTGGCCTCGATTTGAATTTTTCTGATCGTTTTAGTTTGTGTTTGGCTAGAATTTTGCTCAAATAATTTAAAAAAAAATTAGTTTAATTTTTTTTTAAATATAGAAAAATTAATATAAAAAGGTATAATAAATATTATTTTTTAATTATTAAATTAATTTGAGCCGAACACGATCAAGCAAAGTCATGTTTTTGTTCGACTTACTTTTAAATCGAGCTAAAAAAAAAATATTCATATTCGGCTCAGTTGCTTAAATCAAATAAGAGTTAGTTAATAATACGAACACAAAATGTTCACGAAATGAGCTTTTTTGACAACTCTATATCCCACCATTAAGCCAACCAGATAAATTGTCTTACTTATTACTGGCACTGAAAAATTTTACATGATTACTACATGAATGATATGAGCATGACATCTCACAATCACAATCAAATATGAGAAGAGAAAGGGTAAGGAGAGGGGCAACCAATCAAGAGAAAAAAACGTAAATTTTTTTGGGTGCTTACATGATGTTAGTCTACTTCTTCACGAGGATGATGATTTTAATTCCATTAAAAAAAGCTCTCAATTCAACGCTTATAACAGAGAAAGGAAGAGAGTAAAACTAGCAATAATGTCTTCTTCACGTCCAATAATCATCTTTATAGAAGATGTCTCTGCTCTCTCTTAACCAATGACGTATAAAGTGGCATCTCTGCATTTATTTCTAACTTAATATAAAGTGTAGTCCCTCCATATACCTTTTTCAAAACTTACTAAATTATTTAACCATTTTGCAATGATGAACTTTGGTGGATTTCACCGAACTACATAAATTTATGCCAACTCATTTTTTTGGGGGGGGTTTGTTTCATAATTTCATGTGTTTTACTAGTTAATTTTTTCCTGACAGCAGTACCTTATTATGCAAGCAAAAAAAAAGAACAAATTGCTATGCTGCAGTCCATTGGATGGAAAAATACATTGATTTCACTTTTTGTTTTGATAAAATAAACAAATTATGGTTGTCATGCACCACAATTATATTACATGGTATTGTTAGTAAAAACAGACAAATGCATGAAGAAATCTATTCTTTTGTTCGATATAAATAAGCTTTATAAAAATACACCTATAGTAGTGTTTCCAACTGTTACGCAATAAGAGAATTATCATAAAATTTAAATATTAGATTTATAAACTTGCAACTATAATAGATAATACTATATTGCATTAAATAAGTTAGCAGCAGTCAAATTTAGTGTGATGAAAAATGGGAATATTAGAATAAATCTGAGATAAATTTTAGAATAATAGATTAAGAATTTATTATATCTAGAAGACAATCTAAGTAGCTTTCATTGAAGAAAAATGAATGGCAAATTGAAAAAAGTTCCTGATCGTTTACAAGAAAGATTAGCTGAAATTCATATGGAAGTGTTTGAAAGAAAAGAGGTAAAATAAAGGTAACATGTCTAGACATTGCTCAAAAAAATTTGTAACAAAAATATAACACCACATGAAACACTTGATAAATGAAAAAAGAATGAAGATTCGAATAACCATCCTAAAATAGTAAGGATTAAGAAAACAAAGATGAGAATTTTAAGCATTTGTGTTTAGAGTAGTGAAAATAAAAATTGATTATTGAGTCATACCTAAGTGATAGATTTATATGTTTTGAATCTACTTTAAACAAGATGTAAAAAAGAGGTAAAAGATGCATTAACCAAAAATGTAAGCAACAACTGCAACTAGCATGATAATTGACGTAGAAATGAGAATGGTAAGATGTATGTCTATTGAAGTTATAAAATCAAATGCACATGAGAGCACAATAGATCTTTCTTTTTTTCATTTGTAAGGAAGTTTGTATTTTACCACGACATCAATCATAATAATCTATGAACTAAATCACATGAAAATTTTGATCATAACAGAAAGAATGGGGGCAGTATGCACCCTTGAGAAAAGATTAAACAAAAGATAAATGCTTTGCTGGTTAAGATTTGGATTGTCAAATGAAATAGATTGTGAAAATGAACACGTTTTATAAGAAATAAGAAAAGGATTGAAACTTTTTCTTTAAATAGAATGATAAATTTTTTTTTTATTAAAGATGTTTCTAAGAGAAAGTTAAATAGCGCAACATCAAGCAGTTGTTAAGCATCTATATCTTGGAAAGTAAATGGTCAAATTGGTCGTCCATACTTTTTAGAGGTGCCCATTTACCCTATATTTTTATCTAAGTCATCAATTTAATCCTTCAACTGATCAATTTGAAGTAATTTGGCCATTCCGGCAAATTTACCATTAGCAAGGGATGAAAATGAAAATCAAAGCTTTTCATGAAAGAATTTTACCTTTTGTTTGCGTCACTCCATTATTTTGAGCAAGAGAAATATTTCTTTTTTTTATATATAATTACTGTTCAATATCATAAGTAGAAATTACTAATGAAAAAATGATAATTATTTCGTTATATTTTTTATTTTGACTAAAATTTTGTCAGATAAGCAACTGTAGTGCTCCTTTAAAGGGCTTTAAAATTTTTGGCAAAGATTTTGTTTAGAAAAAGAAAATGCTAATGAAAAGTTTCACATCAAATAATAAGTGTGTTCTAAATGAAAATTTAGTGAAAATATTATTGAGCTAAATAGTAGATCAATTAACTGCATTTTGATTGACTATACATGCATTATTACTAAAGTGTAATACACCACTTTAAATAGTTAGATAAATACAATTTGTCATCCACTTGTTGGAATATATATGATATACATCACTTTGTGAACATGAAGTTGACTCTTTGGCCATTAAATTCAGATGCTGAGCTGAAAGGATGCCGCAAACCATATGAAAGGATGCATCAATCATTGTTTGCCCAATAGAGGCTGGCTACTGGGTATGGGTATGGGTATGGTTATGGGTGTGGGTGTGGGGTGTTAAAACTTTTTGAATCCACCTGTTGTGCTCTTTATACATTCCCATGCTAAGTTGAAAGGATGCCAAGAACCATATGAGAGGGTGCATCAATCATTTTGTGCCCAATAGAGACTGGCTACTGGGTGTGGGTTAGGGGGGTGGGGTGTTAAATTTTTGAATTCACCTATTGCGTTCTCTATACATTGTTAAACAAGTACAGCGAAAGCATCCACTAAAGTTATCTATGATTCATACTTTACGAAAATTTATCTACAAAACTATGATGCAATAAGGTAGTGCATATGCATAGATCTAAGCAAGCAATTAATAAGGAAATCTGCATCTTTGGTATAAAAGCATGCAATGTGTTGTTCAATGTCGGTGCACATATTTAGTTGATGTTAATTAAACTCTCACAAATGGAAGGAGAATATGGTAGAAAATGTTTCATAAATAAGGACACAGTTATTTATCTCCCTATTGTATTCATGTATTTCGACATTCTATTAAGAGAATTTTTTTTCATAAGAATTTAATATACTTATATATATTTAAGAATTCCTGCAAACTCAAATTCACCTTTAATCCTCAGATATATAAAAAAGGTCTCGCAGAGAAAGATTTTATACGCTAAATATAAGCCTTTGTGCATTGAAGGAGTCTTTGATGCCAACTATACTAACTCTGTTGAAAATAGAAAACAAACCAATAGATATTGCATCTTTTTTTAAGGAAAAAATTTCACTAAAAAATCAAGAAAGAAATCAGTGGAGCAAAATTTAATGCAAAAACAGAAAATAGAGCTATGACATTCTAAATGTAAAAAGCAGGCTAAAAAGACTTTTAGGAGAATTTAATTTACATGTTACGCAATTTATGGCTTTATACTGCGACAATCAAGTCACCATCACATTTCCAATTCCTACTTTTCATAAATGGGCCAAAATTATTGAAGTGGATTGCCATTTCATGCTAGACCATATACTTTCCAAAAAAAATTATTACTTCTTGTGTCTTCAATTCAAAATAAATGGTAGATATTTTCACCAAGATGCTGGGACATCTATCATTTTCTTGTTTATGCAACAAGTTGAAGTTGAAGCTCATAGATATATATGCTTTAGCCTGAGAGTGAGTGTTGGCATATGTAGTACATGTTAAAATATTCTTATAAATGGAAAGAGATTGGGAAGAAGATAATCCTAAATTGAGAGTACAATTTCAATTATTTATTTTCTCATTTTATGTTCTATTTTCTCCTACATACATATTTATAAGCCATCCAACAAGTTAATAATACACACAATAATTTATTTTTCTGTCAATACCTCTCTATATTCATATATAACTAAGTATGTTGAAGTCACTACACTGACAACCATCCAATGGATATCATTTAGATATTATTAATCAACCATGATTGCTAGCAAAGCAACTCTTTTTCACAATATAGAAAACAAGACTAGCTGTCATGATTGCAATAAGAAAATAATACATCCAACTAGCAATTACTAATCACAACAGCAAAATATTGCACTTCTGAAATAAAAAACAACAAATAACAGTCTAATTGATTCTAGAACAAAGTCGTAAGAGAAAACAAGATCAGAGAGTGACGAATAACAAAACTTTTGACAAACTTAACGGATTAAATATATGAGACATGATATCTCGTAAGTTGAAAATAATTTTAGTGTAACTGCATGAGTACTTAAAAAAAATCATTCTTACCTTGTCCGAAGATTTGTTTGCTTCCTGGTCGTAAAACCTGGCGGTGCCAACAGTATCTCGAGGAGCATCCTTTGACTATTCAGAGTTCTCAAACGTTCAATGGTCAAACAGCAAAAAAAAAAAAAAATGGTTGGTTGGTGGGGGTGGGTTCTGGGGCAAAAATAAAAATTCATACTCTTAGAACCACTAGACTTAAAAGCTTCACAGCTCACCCTATTTTTTTTTCTATCATCAGCTTCTACAATTGTGGATAGACATGTATTCTGACTGCTATCAGCTTTAAGAGAATCTCCCCACAAACCATTATGGTTTTTTGATTCATATATTTCCATCCTTGTAGAGCTAGTAAACTCAGCTAATGAAGAGTTTGCGCTGATGGTGCTGGAAACACAAAAAAAGTAAATGATTGTTAACTGCTGGAACTCCAGAATAGAAATTTAACAACAATGACTTCACAGAGCATATAACAACAACATCACTAATTCATATAACAGCAAACTAACTTATTATTGTAGGCTCACATTTAAAATGCTTTCGAGTACACAAGTCTCATATTTTAAGCAATTCATTTTTTTTTTCTTTCCTTGGCAAGCAAGTGCATTTGCAAATTACCATCCATGCATAAGCAAACAAAATTGCAGAATCCAACACATTAATGGATGACAACATCTACTTAGAGTTAGACAACAGCAACTTATGATGCATGAAGACAACAAAAGTAATAAACATGAGACAAATCTTAAAAATACATACATAAACACCAGCAAGATATGACATTTAGGGCATGTCTAATGTAGCTTTCTCGCTGTTTTGTTTTCCAAGCCGCGACCACACCTCTATTAGGCTATTTTTTTCATGACACTTCTCAAAAATGCCTGAGATAGGAAGTTGTTTATGAAAACCAAATCTTTTCAACTGTGATAACAATAAAACTTTTAATACCTTCTTCTAGAGTCATAAAGCTTCAATATATCACTTCAATGCTGACAACTTGACACTAAAACAATACATAGTTTGAGAGCCATCTCCTCACTCAAAAACTCATGAATTATTCTCATTCCTGGAAATCTTGATGGTTAAAATCGTGAATGAGAGCTATTGAGTCAAAGGAACAGACAGCTTAATTGAATAGCTTATCCATCACCCTAGTGAAAAAAAAACCGCACATCCTTCATCTTTTGAACAACTTCAATCCCACAAGAACCAGCACCAGTAAAAAAAGAGCAAACCCCTCGCCTACCCTTAATCATTATCCAGCACTTTCTTCAAAGATTATGAGCACTGAACGAAAACCGCGAATGTTTTCTGAAGTGTAACTAGAAGTATGAACAGTCCTATGATGAAAAAAATTAAAATAAAATAAAAAATCCTCATCGTTAATAGTGTTTGATAGGGAAAACAGAAGGCCCAAAAAAAAATTAAAAAAAAAAAGCAACAAATGCTACCACTTTCTACAAGGATCAATATAGAGTAAGGAGTCGGCCCCAAACTCGATTCCCCTAATCCATGGACAGTAAACAATTAACGAAGGATTCCAAATAAAACCAACGCAATTAGATTAGTAAAACAAGTTCTTTTCTAGAAAATACGTTACAGAGCATTTTTTTCCTTCTTTTTCAACTTTTTAGATAAAGTTCAATATACTGGAATCTTTAACCTAATATTCGAAATGCAAAGTCGATGATTCAGATCTCAGTATCATCAAGAGTACTGCCGCGGGGCCCTTCGCATCGTGAAACCGCTGAAAGTAGACAACGGAGGTCGGATTTACAGGACAGAAACTGGGGATGCCAAAACCCTAAAAGCTCAAACTGCAGTTTAACTCTTCTCTTCATCCCCGTCGTTCTGTTGTTTTCCCGCTTCCGAGGAGGAGAAAGCAGAAGCCATGTTAAAATCGATTTGTGCTTAATAGCTTGCGTATTTGACAAGAATGAATTATTCGGCAACAAAATACGGAGATTAACCTAAAGTAACTTTTATTAACTATGTGTTTTCTGAACATATCTATTTTAATATGTTTATTAAGAAATCATCTGTTTTCCACTTTTCTAGCCGTTATTATATACAAACTTTTTTTATTTTTATTTATTTATTTATTTATTTTTTATAAAGCTGGTTACAATTCTATTACTAATTTTATGGACATTATAAATAATTTTATAGGGCTTCTAATTTTGGCTGTTTGGAGCAGCTACATCTTATTAAGAAGCTGTTGAAGAAAAAACTTATATTACAAAAAAACTGTGGTGGGTATTATATATTTTTTTTTTGAAAAAGTTAAACCGCAGCTGGAAAGTTTCAACCGCATCTAGCCAGGAGCGATGTGAAAATGCTGGTTTCAGCGATAACTTTTTGAAAAAGCTACCAAAATACAATTTTCCCAAAGAGTCAAAATAGTAAAGTGGTGCTGCACCGCCGCCGCACACCGCTGCGACAAACAGAGCCTTAGAGTATTAATAAGTCAGCCGGATCGAGTTTTGCCAATTTTCCCAAAGAGTCAAAATAGTGAAGTGGTGCTGCACCGCCGCCGCACGCCGCTGCGACAAACAGAGCTTTAGAGTATTAATAAGTCAGCCGGATCGAGTTTTGCACCAAGAAATTTGTGAAATGAGAGGTATTTTTTATACGCACTTGCCTTTACATTGTTTAGGAGGAGTAACTGTTAAAGCTTTGATACTCATTTTTGCTAACTGTTTCAGGCTTTTCGGTAAATTCCAAAGTGAGCTTTTTACGTGGAAGTACATATGTTTCCTTTTGCTGGAAGAGTACAATTTAGTAAGACCTTAATTTTGGGTTATTTACACTAATGGTTTAAATTTATTTATGTTGTTAAAGACGGGAAGAAAATCTTTTATAAGTGCAATAATTTTCTATATAATAATGGATCTAGCTTGAAATGTCATGCTATTGCTTGACTTCTACTTAACCCAAATTTTGTGGAGGACAAGAGCTCTCCAATCTTGACACCATTAATATGATGTGCAAATCCAAATTAGTCTGAAGGCATTTTAATTCTAATTCTCTGTTGACTAAATTGTGGACAACTTACTATGGCTCTTTATGAGTTAAACATGAAAGTTGTGTTTTTCACTTTCTGAAAAGGTTTAACACAAGTGGTTGTTAAAATCTTAAATTCTTTTTAGTTTTAGATCACTCAAGATTGGTTTCTTTTAGAGAGTTTTGGTTACAAGATTTTTCATTGGTTTGATTTACCTCATTTTTCCAAAATCAATGATGTCCTTCATAATATTTTTTGATCTTTTTCTGATTTGGATAATATTCCTGAATATTGTTTGAGGGATATTTAAGTGTTTTTATTAAGGATAACAATCTTCATGCCTTTGGAAAGGCCGAACTTTCAAAATTTGAATGAAGAAAACTACAAATCGTAAAATCGAGCAAATGAGACGCATAGTGGATGAAACTATGAGTTTACGCCCCTTATGATGCATTTGTGAAATCCCTGATCAAATAAGTTTCACTTTGTTTTTTTTTTCTTTTAAACCCTAATACTTAGGTATATTGATAAGAGATGTATCAACTTATGTACCTTCTCGACCTTCTAATATATACATATAATGGCAAAGGATTGGTCATCTATGGCATCCATCTTGTCCTCTTTTTTTTTTTTTTTTTTTGCTCTTATTTATTCTCCATTCATAACTCATCCCTAACCTTACCAGAGTGAATGTTTGAACTGATAATAGTTATCCCCTCATTCTCATCATTCCTTTCCTGTTCCACTCTATTTATAAAATTTCAAATAGTAAATATTTGTAAGACTTTAAATAAGATTGACCATACTTCCAATCCTGAAATCCGATCTTATTTGAATATTTTTCAATTTGATTTAATCATTCTTTAACTAATGTATAATCATAAATAACGAATTTAATCCTTAATATATTTGCGTGGATTGATTCATAGTTAATTATACTTCAACTATCTCTCTTATTTTCTTCTCAAAATAAGGCGTGCTAGCATTTTTTTATGAATTTTATTGAGATATGCTAAGTAGAAATATGTACAGTGGACTTATAAAAGTTCTCTTCCTCATCAATATGCACTAGCATAGGAGGAATAATAGCTTGCAAGGAATATCTTAGGAGTTTTATGATCCACTATATAGATATAAATATTTTGCTTAATTTAAAATAATGATTCATACTTATGTTCTACTCATCTATGATGTCAACAAATTATTGCTCATAGAAATTTTATTGCTTTTCTAGCTTAATAGCTTTAGTGTTTTTTCCTAAGGTGCTTAATATATCTCCTCCTTAGTTTTGGGACAACTTCTTAAGTTCAATATCCATAAGTATAAGTTGAAGCATTCTTTTTCAAGATAATAGTCTCAAAATACACCATGTCTTATCTAGCCCTTTTAGTGTCTTCTCCTTAAACATCTAACCTTATGAGCGTCTAATAATCAACCTTCTCAACTTCAATCAAGTTAATCTTCTCAATTAAAATCATATTAATTTATCATGATTGAGAAAAATACCATCTCCAAATTTACATTTCCCTAAGTTTCACACATTTTTCCTCTTAAGGCACTACTTAAGTGCTTTATTTAAGTTTTAATTATTAAAGATTTCCCTTTATTTGAATAATTATCTATCACCTTACTCCTTAGGCTAATTCTGTTAAATTTCTACTCAGTTGAAATTTTTTTGAACTCCAATCTAATGATCAATACAAACATAATAACTCCAAAAGTTGTGTTCTTACTTGTAATACTAAACGCAATGGGGTATCCCTCATTCTCCTCTTTCTCAATAATCCTCGATAGTAGTTGATAAACTATTAACCTAGGAGCTTTACAAATTGGCTAAATGGGAATTCTTTGGCCTTCAACTTAGACTAAATACCTTAAATCGAGTAAAAAATTTATCAATCACCTCTCATTCTATTTATTCCCAAGAAATGTTAATGTTTATTCACATGTAATATTAGAGTCAATAGTTGCACGCATAACAAAATCAATAAAAACAGTAAAAAACCAAAATAAAATGTCTAATCATGCTACATTGAAACATCTCTCAAGCAATACTCGAATAATATTTGGACTTTATTCAAATATTTGTAAAACATGGCTTGCATTTTGTTCTATCCATATTCCAACTATGATTAAACAAAGCTTGCATCATGATCAAGCTATATTTGAACCATAATTAAACTATATTTAAATATTTTAAAACCACATTTCAATCATTTTGAACAATTTCCTAGCCTTGTTCAAACTTTACTTGAACCTTATTCAAATCATATCAAAATAATGTTCTAGCCTTGTTCTAATATTACATAACTTTATTTATTTAAGCCATTTTTAAAACTTAGTTGGTCCTTGTTCTTATCATGTTCAAACAGAATTTGAATATTATTTTGATTTTTCTATAATTAAATTTGAATAAGATTCAAATAATATATGAAAAATTTTATATCATATTTATAGAATAGATAATGTGATGTATATTGTTATATTAGGTTTAGGGTTTTGACTACGAAAGACTTTTAAATAGTTAAATATATAATACCACCAATTTTGAATATTTAGTTGGATATAAAGATGAAAAATTGCAATAAAATTTGTCAAATATTTATCACACAAGCTTGGTATCATCGAATATGAAGAAGGCAATACAAAAAACAACTTTTGAAGTTCACTCCTTATTTGAAACTTTGTTTGACTCCTGAGTAATTATTTTAATCCATGTGAGGGATAATTTGGTCTAAAATAAAAATTTAGACATATTTTTCTAATAAACCATGCAAAAACCGTATGTAGCCGATTATGGGTATTATGAGGAATATATATATATATATTTATGTATATATCAATATACATATGAACATATATGTATATATCTATATAAATATCTATATATGTATATATATATATATATATATGTATATGTGTGTCTGTGTGTGTGTGTGTGCGCGCGCGAGCGCATTCATACATACATATGAAAATTTGACTTTGTATTCCTTATGATGTATATGGATTAATGTTCTTTATATATTAATTTAGGCAATTATTCTCTAATATGTTATCAGTCAAAAGTTTTGAAAAGTTTAAACAAAATAATGAAGTTATGGCTTTGAATCAAACCAGGTAGTTAAACTAGAGGTTTAAACTTAGGTTCAAATGTTTTCTTTGATTTTATGCTTGTTGTCTTTGATTTTGTAAGGGAGATATTAAAAGGAGGAGTATGT